CATTAGATTAATTTGATGTTTTTCCAGTGTGGTTGTATTTTAGTGAGCCTGATAGAAGTGAATAATTTACAATGAGTTATGATACGCAACTTTGAACCTTGACATTGATTCTTTGCGTTGAGACACACACAAAAACATGTCAAGCAAAAAATATTTTTACACAAAATAAACATACAAATATAGGTTTACAGTTTTTATTATGTAAATATACAAATATATAATAATTATTTTATTTTATATACTTTTAAAAAGGAGTGAAATTAAGAAAGAAATTTATTCATAAATGAGAGAAAATGTTGAAAAACATTTTTTAAAGTTGTCTCAACACCTGATTTAAAAATGTTGTTAAGTACACACTAAATTTCTCTTAAATAAGTCTATATTTTATTAATATATTAAACATATTACAATTTTTTAAAATATTTTTTATTTTAAATCTTATTTAAATATTATACTGTGTGTTAATTTCTATATATTATACATATTATATGTACGTTTGTTAAAATACTTCACACTATGAATAATTCAAGCATGTGTGCATGTTTCAGTCTAGTTAATGTAGCTACTAGAAAAAATATAGAGAAATGAAAGGCGGTTTAAGACTTTTGGACAGTAGTTTATAAATATATATTTTTATAGGTTATATATATATATATAACATTTATATCTATGTCTCTTATAACAATAGGGAGAGACCCTGATGAGAGTGTGTGTAAAGTGTGCCTCTCTGTGTTCTGTACTCTCTGCACATCAAGGAGGGGAGAAATAACGGGACTGGAAAAAAGGCAAAAATAATCTTAATGTTATTATAGCATCATCACTACCTCTGTCACAAAGTGATAGCGATAAATCAGTCGGCGAGGAAAGGCCTTATTATCACACTTTCATTGCTATGATTTATGTGTAGATTTTGTTTTTATTTTTTTATTTTTTTTTAAATTTGGGGGGTCTACAGGAGAACTCAGGCCTGGCTGTCATTTTTATAATATAAGCACATTCTGCTAATAATTCATTCATGATATCTACAGTATAAAGACGTATAAAGTATGTAACAATAAAACAAATGCACCCTGAAGTGTCTTCCCTCGATAGTTTGAGACTCTGAGACACTTTAACCAGAATTTATGTCTTTATGTCTAGAAAACTCTTGCAGGCCTTTTAGCAACTTGGTTTGTTTTGTTGCCAAAATGGGCTTTTTGGGTAAATGAATTTCACTAAGAATCAAAAGGGCAGCGGGGAATACGTTGTTTCCAGTTAGTCACAGCTCCAAAAAGTCTCCCGCCAGACAGCCACAGAGCCGCACAGCTCTGTCGTACACTCATTTTACACCTGTGACCACAATCCAGGAACATTCACATGTAAAATGTCAGGATGGATAATTCCATTAGAGTGATGCGTTTTTACCATGCATTAGTTGTTAATGTTTATATACATATTTTATATATCACATTCTGTATACATGCTGCATATACTGGGCAATGCATACTTGAGTGTATGTCTCCTGGCCATTGTGAAATACAATACTTGGATATTGTGTGTAGTATTTTTGATTATTCCTCATGTTATTTAAAGCCTTACTCAAATATCATGCTCTCTACTTTCAGGATGATATATATATATATATATATATATATATATATATATAATATATATATATATATATATATATATATATATATATATATGTATTTCTTTTTTTTTTTTTTCACAGATTTTACAGCTTGTAGATGCGGTCTGATAAAATGCAGCAGGAGGTTGTTGTTTTTAAGTCTTTCTTTCTCACTGAATAATATTTCCTTTCTAAGAATATTAATAGTTTGACATTTCTCTGATGTGAGCTGATGTTTTGCTGTGTGTGCTGCTCCCTAAGGCTTTGTGTTTTTGTTTAAGGACATAATGATCTCAGATATCAGGGTTACTGATAGAAGTTGACATTTAATGTAACTTCATTAAAGACAAATGCTTTGAAACCTTCTTCTTCACAATACTAGTGGAATTATACAGTTGTCTGCTGCGGCTAAGGACACTGATTAAAAAACTAATTTTAAATCAAACAAAATGTTGCTCTTTAAAATTGATTTACCACACTATATTTATTTATAGAGCTCTTTGAAAACAGGCACAGCTATGACAGAGTATTAGGACCATGTTAAGAAGAAATAAATAGTGTTTATTTCAGGATTAAAGTAGATATTTTGAGATTAAAGTTGAAGTGATACTTTGATAAAAAAGTCAAATGTGGAGGTTACAGTTGCCGTTTCAAGACAAACTGGCACGGCTGCTACACTCTCTAAAAACTCTTTGTGTAGATAAGTTGATCAGCCATCTTGGGATACAAAATACAAACTCTTTACTGCATCAATATTCTTGCATCTTTCTATTCACAGCTATTTCATTTTGCACAAATCTGGCTATCTATTCCAAGTTTGTGTGTTTTTCCTTCTGACCAGATGCAGCTCTCCGCACCATCTTTTCAGTGTGATTAATACTTATCGTCCCACTGTGTTTCTGTACTGAAAAGGTAATAAACTAACTAAAACCAATTCTACTGACTCGTCTACACAAGGTATTTGTAGAGGGTTTAATACTCCTGGCCCTAATACTCATTCATACACAGCAAATGCATGCTGCTGTTGAATCATTGAAAACAATCAAAGACAAAAACTTATTTTATCTGTTAGTTGTAGAAAACTATGTGGAATATTTTTGGTGTTACTATTATTACAATGTTGCTAAAAAAATGTTCATGATGATTTTTTTAAATTAAAAAATTGTGTTTATGTTTGTTACCTATCCTTATTTTGATTTTGTGATGTAAATTTATTAGTATTAAAGAACATGATAATCTGTCTGTGCTCATTTGCATAAAGGTATTCATCATAAGCAACACAAGAAAAATTAATTGCATTTATAACATTAGAGTTTGTTAACATCACATCTTTTTTTCTGTGGTTATGGATTAACTGAATTTATCAGTATTAAAGAACTTGGTAAACTATGTTAAGTTTGTTTGCATGAAGCAATATTATGACTCTGTTGAGGCAGATATTATTTAATGGCGTCAAAATTATGTCATAGAGAGTGCTGAGTAAAAAAATCATTTCTAGATCAGTTTATTGAAATATCTCAAATGAAAATAATAATAGCAAATTAAAAACATCAAAACAGCCATGTGCATCAGTTATTAAACTTAACATTTATAATTTATCAACAGTTGATCAATTGTACATTCTAATACAGTATGTTGTGTGCCAGTGTCACAGCATCAAGGGGAATTTTAGTTTAATGAAGAGAAAAGCATAAAAAGGTGCTGTATATGAAGTAAGGACACTTGTGTGTTAGTTAGTTGTGTGTCTTTCAATCTAAGTTAATATTTGTGAGTCTAGCTTTGGCGCGTATGCTGCTCATTTCCATTTTTGGTGGGCGAAGCCATGGCAATATAAAGCTGAGCGCATCATTTGTCTGTCTCACTCTCAAGTCATGAGCTGTGGTGACGATGTGGTTCCTCCTCCTGCTTCTCCACCTTGCTCACATTGAGCTGGTGATCTCACAAGGCAAGTTAATTCAGTTTATTTCATTCTGAACAGTAGTAATATTGTTAATTGTTGGTACTAATTTGAATTTCTCTATATGACCGTGTGTGTGAATGCGTTAGAACTGAGTCCAGATGTGATCCTGAATTTGAACCAAAAAAAACCCCAAAACAATCAATGCAGTACTTTTGTGTAAAATTCAACTTAGGAAGAAATCCTTGAAATACCTTTGAAATATTATTTATATTTTAAAATACACCCATTCTCTCGGGTCAGGGTCGCAGGAGCCTATCCCAGCTGTTTTAGGGCGAGAGGCAGGGTACCCCCTGTGCAGGTTGCCACCAGTCTGTCACAGGGCAAACATATAGAGACAGAGAACCATTCGCACTCACAATCACACAGGGCACCTATGACTCTCCTTCTCTCATTTTATTTAAAAACTATATGTAAAATTGTTTTATTTATAGCAGCCTTTTCAAGGTGTGGAAGAAATGTAACAGTTCAATTCAAGTGTATGTCCAGATTTCTGTTGTGATTTTTTTTAAATCAAGACTTTTCAAGTGCAAACTGGGTTTTTCTGTCAAAAAAAAGTCAAGAAAAGTACAGTATTTACAAAGAGCTCAGTGACAAGAGGCACGTGTTAGAGGAGGGAAGTCCGAGATTTTTGTGACGGATTCTGCAGATGCAGGTGCAAAATATAGTCAGGACAATATTGAAATTAAGAACACAGGCTGATTTTGTCCTGAAATGAACTGACTGCACCTGTGTTTAAAACAGTGCAATATTTGTAAATTATCCATAAAACTAACCACACCCATCAGCATGCCTCCGAATTGTACTCGCACGCTATTTTGGCCCATTAGCAAATTTAGCCCTCGCTGGAAATCACAGTGGTCCAGTGGTTAGTACTGTCACTTCACAGTGCGAAAGTGATTCAAATCCAGCCTGGGGCCTTCCTGTGTGTAGTTTGTCTGTTCTCCTCGTATCTGCATGGGTACTAAGGGCTTAGTTTAATTGGTAATTCTTAATGATGATGGTGAGTGTGAGCATCAGCGGTGTTCTGTCTCCATGTGTTAGCCCTGTGACAGACTGGTAACCTGTCATGGGTGTACAATACCCTTCCTCTTAATCTATGCCATTTACAATAGACACCCCATATGTTAAAAAAATATAAACCACTGTGGTTTTTCATTGTTGTTTTTGTATAAATCTGCTGAGGAATGATGATATTATCCTAAAGAAAGACATGAAGGGATTAAAAAGATTTGTAAAAAAAGTGTTTTTACCGATATTCAGATAAAAAACAAATAAACAAAAGACATTTTAAACTTACAACTTTAAATATTTACTTTGCAGTTCCCAAAAGTAAGTCAGCCATGAAAAAATCATAACAATAATAATAATTTGCTGTATAAACCTTGTATGTTCCTAGCTGAGGACAAACTGATTCTAAAAAACAAAGGAGGCTACCCATGTGAAGGCTACCTTGAAGTCTACCATAACAACATATCGGGTTATGTTGGGGATACACACTGGGACAAGAACACTGAAAAAGTGGTTTGTAAGAGCACTCACTGTGGGGAAACCTGTGGAGAACCCAGTAATAGACATTCTTAAGCCTTCTGAAGACAGACCGATCTGGCTCAATGAACTGAAGTGTGAAGGACACGAGAGCGCTCTGTGGAAATGTAAACATCCTGGTTGGAAGTCCAGCTATTACTCAAAGCTCACAGTGAAAAAACTTAAGTGTTCAAGTAAGTTTGTTAGATCTTTCTTTCTCTTTTTTTCTGGGGGTGGGGGGGAGGTGGGGTGGGGGTGGGGGGTATTGAAAGTACTGACAAAAACTGCAACTTTAAAAGCTTAAACTCTTCGCTAAAAGTTGTTAAGAAAATTAAGAAAATGAACTGTATTGGAAATTACTTGATAGGATCGATTGTGGTGTTTGTTGTTTTTTATCTGTATTTATATTTGGCTGGTAATTGAGTGCGTTCCTCAAGGTAATATCACATTGAGCCTGGATAGACACAAATGTGCTGGAGCTGTCAAGTACTCCATTGATGGCAAACCTCCGGGTTACTTTTGTAACAACAGCACTGGTATGTATTTTCTTTTTGCTAATCTTCTATGTGGCAGAGCTGTTCAAATATTGTCAACATTTCTCTCTCAATTTGATGCTATAATAATATTTTATTGCTTTTCGAAATGTTTTGGACTGTTTTAATTCCTCTCTTAAAAAGGTAAAAAAGAAGCCAGGCTTCTGTGTAAAAATCTCGGGTGTGGTGGACTCAGAGAAATTCCTCCCTCAGAGAGTATGGTTAGTGATAATTTCAGGGACTCATCAAAGATGAAGATCGATTGTTCAGCCTTTAAAAATGCAGATCCAGATCATCTGTGGCAGTGTGTGAATGGCGAACAGGACAATTCAGCATCATGCAAACCTGTTTCTGTCATATGTGAAGGTAACACACACACACACACACACACACACACACACACACACACACACACACACACACACACACACACACATATGGTGAAAGTGTTTTTATGAACAGGTTATACGAGACTGCAGCTCAAAGGAAACCAGTCAAATGTGTGTTCTGGGCAGCTGGAAAAAGAAGAAAATAACAACTGGGTACCTGTTCAACAGGACAACTTTGATTTTGATGTGTGCCAGCAAATGCACTGCGGTAACTCTCTCAGCCCAAACAACCGCACAAACAAAAACCTTAATGTGACATGCACAGGTAATTCAACACATCTATATTCCAACACAAACAACTTCCAAGCAAACACTTCACACTGTGAAACTGCTCTCTCTCTCTCTCTCTCTCTCTCTCTCTCTCTCTCTCTCAGATAAAGTTAAAGTAGTTCTGAAGCACTCTGGCAAAGACAGCAAGTGCTATGGTACAGTTAATATTGAAGTGAAAGGTTCAGTTAATCCTGTGTGTGCCTCCTCCTGGACTAAAACTGAAGCTGAATTGGTCTGCAAGGAGCTTGGATGTGGGGAAGTGAGTTTTCAAGTTTAGTCACCATAAGTTACCTGTTGTTCTGATACATGGATACTGAGCGTTCATGTATCAGAAACTGTCCATACAGCAGTGCTACTGGATTTATTGTGATAAGTGTACTAACGTGCACCATTAATACTGGATGATTATCAATGAAATAACATAAACTCATAAATGCTTTGTTCTAGCTGATTTATACTGAAGAACATCAGAATTCAGGAGGGATAATGGACCATGTGAGCTGCAAAGGCAATGAGTCCTCACTGTGGCACTGTCAGGCTCAGCATGGCAAGAACATCCAGTGTTCAAAACAACCTTATGTGGTGTGTTCAGGTGAGATACAGCAGTGGAAATGTACAGAGTGGCTGCTGATGGCCTTTGTCTGCTTTTATAATGGGATTTTAAATCCTGCAATAAATTCTATGTCGAGAGAGAAAATGAGTTACTTCATTCAGTGAAATTGTGACATTGTTAAATTCTGATTATATTTTTCCCAAAATGTGTTCAGTAAGAGTTTAATTTAATGTATTTATTCTTTTTGTGTTTCGTGGCTGATAAATCTCTTATTGTCGTGGTACAGGCAGTGTGGAGGTGAAACTGGCAGATGGTCCTGGAAGATGTGCTGGAAGATTGGAGATAAAGCATGAGGGCCAGTGGAAGAAAGTTCCTGTAAAAGGATGGACAGACGCTCAATCAGCAGCTGTCTGCAAACAACTGCAATGTGGGGAAAAAGGCAAAACTGAAAAATTCAGTCAGGGTTCTGGTAGCTTCCTGTCAATAACGTGTCCGAGAAATAAGAAGATATCAAAGATATCTGAGTGTTTAACAGAAAACTCAAACAACCAATTTTCGGATCGGGAAGCGGAAGCAGCTGGAATCACCTGTGAGGGTGAGTGTCACGTGCCCTTTGACCTTGTTGCTGTGTATAACTGTTATAAGTAATTACACATGTGTCACAAATGATAGTGCTTTCCCAAAGTAAACATACTGAAATATAATAAAATGCTAGAACCAGGAAAAAGACATTTTCATTCATCGATGTCAGTCAGAAGAAAAAAGTGTTTTTTCCCTCTGCTTAGTTACATGCTTCTATTTATTAAATCATCAAGTCTAAGGTCTAAATACACTTACCTGTGAAAATCCAACTAGAAACCCAAATAAACAATTTGTCTTTTTGCAGTGTTGGTCCACGGTATAATTGGCCATTTTTGACTACTTTTGATGTTTCCTCTACATTTCACCTTAAAAACTATTTACTTTGCCTTGTTTGGTATCATTGTTTTCAGCACAGCCTCACGTGTCTGAATTTACAGTTATGTTTTCATTTTGACATGCTGTATTAACACAATTGATCTAAAATCAGACAAAAAAACATAAATTCAGAGTAGAAAAAGTTATACTTTTTTACTGTAACAACCACAAACATGTTTAATGAATCATATTTCATAACTTTAAATGCAAATATAAATTGTCAATTTTAAAATTCTATGCACAAGTTTTGCAAACAACAAAGTTATTTGCATCCATTTACCTTGACTTTTTAAATAACAATTTCAAACTATTTACATAACAATCAGCTGTTCTGCCTTCAATAAGATGCCACACAAATTATTTGTGCCACTCCAAATATTTCTGTCCACTATAAAGGAGAACATCACAGCCTGATACCTGCAGGTCTGACAGCAGCAGGTGTATCACTCCTGGAGACAGCAGTCGCCTCATTGTTCTGACACACAACACAAAACTATCCACAACACTACACACTAACTACACAAGACAACACATTAACTACACACTCCAAACACACTAAATGTCACAAATCTCTCTCTCTCGCCGTCACTCCTAAAACCTCTGTTTTTGTTTTTTTGTTTTTGTTTTTGCTCATAAGCAGAGAGTGCTTGCTAACGCTGTCCTTAGACAGTAAACGTGACAAAACTATTCAGGAAAAAACGCCACGTATATATTGTTTATCATGACTCTGGTTTTACGTGGCCTATCAACACAATTTAAAAACTGGTATATATCACCTTGTTGCTTTGTCTTTAAGTGGTCATGTGATTGGCTTACCACGACTACTTTATTCTTCCTCAGTCAAACAGCAGCACTCATGTGATTGTTTTGCCCCCTTAGCTCCAGGTGTTGTGCTAGACAGCGATCGTGATTACCGTCCGCGGGAGCGCGCGCAGCTGCTTAAAGCTGTAGCGTCCAGATTACTTACAGCTACTTCCATGCAACTGATATAAGATGCGGTAAGCTGAAGACAGCTTCAACCGTCTGTTTGTTGAAAAATAGTAACGGACCGCGTTTTCTTCTTAGTAACTGTAACGGCGTTGTAACGATTGGAATAGTAATTAGTTAGATTACTCGTTACTGAAAAAAGTAACGCCGTTAGTAACGCCGTTACTTGTAACGCCTTTATTCCCATCACTGGTCTTTTGTGAAAAAGTCATTAGGCTTTTTTGGGTGCCAAATGTCTTTGTCAGTAGATTAGCAGACTAATTACAGACAAAACAATGTTTTCCCAATAGTGGAGTGTTTACCAGCCACTCACACCTTGGCCAATAGAATAGAATAGAATAGTCTTTTATTGTCATTGTAAATTTACCACAAAATTGTGGGGGCTCCTCGTCAAGTGTGCAGAAATAAAATATAAATAGTAAGACAACAGGAATAAATAACAAGCATTCTTCATTGCTTTTAATGTCTTTAAATTTCCTTCACCTTAATTCTAAAAAATCTGAGGTTGTCAGTTGTTACAGTAAAACCGAATCATCATTTAAGAGCCTTCGTATCATTTTTGGTACTGATTTGAAATTTGAATCTCACATCTCAACGCTCACCCAGTCTATTTCTCTCATTTAATTAGGAAACATCACAAATTTCAGACCCTTACTGACACTTAGCTTTGTGGAACTTTTATTGCACGCTTTAATTTTCTGTTGTCTTGAGTACTGTGACTCACTTGTCACATGCACCTCTCGGTCCTCTTTAGCTCGTGTTTAGCTGGTCCAGAATGCAGCACCTACACTGCAAACAAAAACTAGCTGGTGCTCATACATATATATAATGCTTTTCTACTCCTTTAGAGCACCCAGAGTGTGTTTTGCTGAAAGTAGTAGAGAATCATTATTCTGCTCAGCTATCAGCAAACACATTCAGCATTTTAAAGTCAAAGCGCTTTTTACTACAAGCCCAATTAACCCAGTCACAAGCACACATTCATGCAGTGCTTTAATCCTGTGTCTAAGGGCTTTGTCTAACATTCACACATGAACGAATGACCTTTCAACAGGTAGACGACCTGCACAGCCACTTACTGTATATCATGTTTCTCTCTTTGTGTCCATCAGGTCACAAGGTGGTGTTTTTAAGTGGAACCTGTTCTGGTCATGTGGGGATAGAGCATGGCAGAGAAATCTACTGGCTCTCTGGGTCTAAAGAGACATGGAACCAAGAGTCTGCAGACACAGTGTGTCAGCAGATGCATTGTGGGAACGCTGCAAACTTTTCTTTCAATTCTAGGGCTGATATGATTAATAAAGTTTGGAAAAACTCTTTTAGCTGCTCATCCAGAGAAAACTCTCTTTTTGAGTGTAACCAAACTACACCTCTGCCTCCTGACCACCATAATTCTACTGCCTATGTGAAATGTTCAGGTAATGTGAAATATGAAGGAGTTAAAGTATAAAACTAAGACTGACGTCAATATGGAATTGATTTATTGTGTCACTAGTTGTAATGTGATCCACTCAGAAGAGACAATTTATTTATAACAGACTTTACCTTTTAATGTCCATAGATGTACATTCACCTCCTTGTTTTCTCTCAATCAAATTTCTACTATTTTCTATTTTTTCTGAAACCTAGCTTGGTCTAAGAAGTTGTGAAATATCTGCTGATACTAGTTTCCTCTTAAATTTAACTTTTTCATGTCACAACAGGAAATATTGAGATGAGGTTGACGAACAGCTGCTGGGGAAAAGTCAGGATTCGTGTAGAAGAGAAGGAAGGAGATATGTGTGGAGACACCTGGACAGAAGACAAGTCTGTGAAGCTGTGTGAAAAGATGAACTGTGGGATGCCCATAAAAGCCCACAACAGTCCCAAAGATGGTGATATCCTCTTTAAGAGTTTACACCCGACAAATCAGACTACTGACCTGACACAGAGCATCTTTGTCAAAAACCAGGACAATGATAAGTCCTGTAAACAAAAACCAGCCTATGTTGTTTGCTCAGGTAATTGTTTTTTTAAAAGTAATTTTATATTACAAAAATATAATAAATGTCATAACTTGCTTTTTAAAAAGTTTCATTTTCAACTGATTTGGACCCTTTGGAAAAAAGTGCCAGTTTTATTGGTTTGTTGATTCTTCAGTCACTAAGTTACAGGATAACAGAATGTAAAAAACAAACAAAAAGACATAAGTCTGTTTTTAAATGTTCCTTCAAATGTTTTAAAAATATCTTTTTAAATACTGTTTTTATAATTAAGCTCATTTGTGTTAAAGAAGCAAATATAAATCTTTCTGAAGCTATCAGACTGAAATTCTTTACACTAAGATGATGATAGTTCTTGTTGCTTAAAATTCTAATTAAAAATAAAATAAGACTATTATAAATATATGGTATTATTATTTTTGTTTTGTTTTCTTGCAGGTAGTGTCAAGCCCAGATTTAGCATTCCCAGTTACAAATGCTTTGGAAACGTAGAGGTGGAGTATGAGGGGAAGTGGATCCCTGTGTGCGAGGATGCTCTCAAAGACACTAACAATGGAAACACCATCTGTCAGGAGCTTAAATGTGGTGATGCTGTCGAAACTCTTCCCTACTTTGGACCTGCACCAGCAGATAAATTAGCCATTTCAAACCTAAACTGCATTGCAAATGCTAACAGTCCATTATCTGCATGCAGCAGTATTACTGCTTCTACAGCTGCCTGCAAACACAGTGGCCTCCGATGCTCTGGTGTGTATAATGATCTTTGTATCAGCAGTTTCTGAATTATTCTTTGCTCCTTCAGCCTAATTTTAAAATAAAGGCTTTGAAACTGAATTGAAATTGAAACAAACTGAGACTAGTTTGTATTTCAGAAAAATGTTGAGATAAAAATAATGCTGCGTTCAAACTTTGACATGCTCGCCTTCAAAGGTTACTGTTAGTGCAATAAAGGTTAGAATGTTAACATCCTCACCTCCATTAATGATATTTGTTCTACTCAGTTTTACTCTTTTCTTTTCTGCTTGTTGTCCATGTCACCAGTATGGCTCTGCCACACAGTCTGACTCACTTAATGTCTGGAATCAGCTGGAAACAGCTGGCCTGTGCAGTCTGATGGTTATAGAAATATCGCTGTCATCAGTTGTCATCTCTTTGTTATCACTCTATAAAATCATTTTATTTACACAGCAGTCAGAAGGGTAGCTAAACTTCAAAAGTGTAAAACTTTAAGTTGATGCAGGATCATAATGTCATTTCTGTGTGCAGAGTGTGTTATTTATATCATTCAGATCCTGTTGGTTACATCATGTTTTGTGAACTTTTTATTTCTCTTGTCTGTCTCAGAATGGAGGACGATGGTACCTGACAAAAAGGCCTGTAGTGGAACAGTGTTGGTTCACTGGAGACAGGGACTCAGTGCTGTTTCCAGAGAAAACTTCAATGAAACTGAGAAGGAAAAGCTTTGCCAGGATATGGACTGTGGTGGATACCAATCAACAAATGAAATCCACCCCCAAACAATTGAAATAGATTCTTTTTGGAACAAAAGCTTCAGCTGTGGTGAAAATCCAGGAAGCATTTGGGAATGTGAAAATAAAACCACACCCTCAAGGAATGAGCCTGTCTTTATTGAATGCAAAAGTAAGATTTATATCAGCAGGACTGATCTTAAATGATCACAGACTTTTTACATTTGCACTGGAAACACTGAAGAGTGAAACAAGACACTCGGAGTGTGAAGGAGAATTATTCCAGATACACTGGATAAAGTAACAAACCAAAGCTAAAAGTGTTAAATGAACTATTTGATTATGGACTTGTGCTTCATATTTTGACTTTGCAGTGCAGAGAAGATTAACTGATCATTTCTACCTCAGCGCTTTATGTCTTTATCAATACTTGACTGCAGTGTTTATTGCTTTCCTTCCCAGAGGAGCCCAGTGTCAGCCTTTCACAGGGCTGTCGTGGGGAAGTGAGGATAGATGACGTTCCAGTGTGTGCTAGTAACTGGGATCTATCCTATGCACACAAAGTTTGCCAAGAAAACCTTTGTGGCAATGCTGTCTTCATTGAATCCAAAGCTCCATCAAAGGGTTCAGGTAACATTTACCATGTCAGCTGTGAAAAGTACCATTCCATCATTGGCCAGTGCAGGAGGACTAAAGGAAAGTGTGACAAAAATGTGGTGTTCATTACTTGTAGTGGTAAGTGTGAGTCCATACACCTCTCTTTCCATAAACTCATCCCTATATACAGTACATACATGTATGTCCTCTCTTAATTCTGGTAATATTTTAATTCATTATCTTGGGATAATTTTTAGGTATTTATTTTATAAAACAGAAGATTATTTCTTTAAAATAAAAATGACATTGTCAAGCTCATTATAAGATAGTGAAGCTACAAATAATTTTCATTGCAAACCATGACACTTATAGTCTGGCAGGTTCTGTCCAGAAATCTGAGTTATTTGTTGAAAATTTCTAAAAATAAATATGTGGAACACATGTTTTACACTCCAACTTTAATAAATGCAGAGTGATGACAGGTGCTTGCTTTGCTCCTAGTGATTTTGCTAAAGCTAAGGTGACCATCTCTAACATCATATTTGCCAGACAGAAGTGGATGAGCTTGTTTCCTTCTTTAAACACAGTTTCTTTGCTTTTACAGAAAGTGTAAAGTTCCGCACGACTGAAAAACATGGAGGTGTCCTTTATGTCAATTATCGAGATAAGTGGGAAAGAGTATGTCCATTTAATCATTCCCAAAACTTAAAGCTCTGTGAAGAGATTGATAAAGAGACCCCTAGCACCTCTACGGAAATCAAACAGGTAAATCTTTATATTTTACATCTTGAATCGGTCACTGATTTGTCTCATATTCTACAAACCAAAATCATGGACAGTTTCCTGGCTCTGTGTCTCAGCTTAATCTAATAATGAAGACTGGAATCTCACATTTTAAATATTTAGGTTTATAAAATGGAAAGAAATGCATGAGACTTGTATCTGAATAAACACAAATTGACCAAATGTTTGAAACTTTCTGGACACTTTGCTGACACAAAGTTTGCAGAAATATAAAAGAAATTGAATGTCCCAATACTTTTGGTCTGGACTTCTAGTGACTTCTTTTGCTGTGTGTTGCTTCAGTCCGGCCTGTTTTTTACTGCCAGAGAAAATTTCAGTGTTTTTGATTTTGGCTGTATCTCTAAATGTGAAAAAGTTTAAATTTGATTCAAGGTCAACTTAGAAACAACACTGGAGTTCACTGATGTTACCATGGATGTCAGGCGCTCTGTCAAAAGAAGTTCCTGTGAAAGCACTAATCAAGTTAAAATATATTGTCCCGGTAAGAGAAACCATGAATCCATCAATCAATTAGTTGTTTTTGACAGAAAGACACTTTTTGTATTCTGTAAATCTGAGCTGACTTACTTTGATCAACGTGATACAGATAAAGTGGAATTCAAACTCACTGTAACTGAATCCGGAAAAAAACATAATAAACTGGCTGTGTGTGATTTCAGACTATGAAACACTGACTACCGCAACACCAACCCCACCACGTCCGCCTATACCCACAGGACCTATTATCGTGGGTGTGATATTTCTTCTTGTTGTAGTGATCTTGATTTCTTCATTTATACGAATGTATGTCAGGAGAGTCAGGGAGTCCAGAGCTTTAGGTGAGTATATTTATTACATGACTTACACACATGTTTTTTTATTTGTTTGTTTTTGCTCTAATGAATTACCTTAAAAGGCATAAAAATCCTGACTGAACATGAGATCAATCCAGAGCTTTCATGCTTAAAGGAAAAGGGTGTTGGAAACTTTTAGAGGGCAGTCTTTCAGCATACTGACTGAATTCTGACTCAAATAATGCCGTCACTGCTGCTGATTGAACAAGGAGCACATCAGCTCCACCAAACTCGACCAAATGTAAATACAGAACAGGGAAAATTAAGAACGCCTGTGCTTGTGGTGTGCTTTTCATGCTCCTGTGCTCCTTGTACAGTTACTTCACTGGTACATTAGCACAGTGCATTGGTGAGACAGCTGTTGCTGTATGAGTAAATTTATAACACTGTAACCTTTCAGCAAGAATGCTGCCAGGGAAAGACATGGAGTTTGAAAGTGGAGATTATGAGGACGTCATGGACAAAGACAATGAGATGGAAGACTTCAGTCGTGGCAGTGAGTCATTCATTCAGTGTTATCTTATCTGTTTTTCTTTCTAAACAGTGTTTAAAGTCCATAGCTTAATGGCCTTTGATATACTCTACACCACTACTATCGTTATTTTAATTTGGACACGATAATATGAGAAGCTGCACCACCTACACTAATTACTGCATGTTAGTACTACAGTTTTCTGTCTTCATAACTTATTTTTAAATAACTGTACTATATCAAGAACGTCAGTGGCTCTGCCCATATAAATTGTTACCTGTTTTTATATGTTTTATATAAAAACATGTATATGTTTTTTATCCTCTTCAACGTCATCCTTCCTGCTGTCGAGTTGAAGGTGCACAAATTTAAATTTCACCTAAATTTCAAAAAGATAGACATAAAACAGGTATAAAAAGTAAAATTATCTTTCAAAAAAGTAATATCAGGACAACGCATCTTCTCTTTGACAGGATTACACCATCTTTTGTTCACATATAAATCCAGACCCCCACCTTTTCTCTTGCCACTAGCTTTAGCTTCTGTGTCAGATTGTATCAGAGTGGAACCAGTTATATACACATTATCCAATCCAATCCAACTTTAGTTATATAGCACTTTAAAAACAACAAAGTTGACCAAAGTGCTTTCCAATAATAAAACAGAGATAGCAGTTAAAAACCATACATTAAGCATACAAAGAAATAAATATAAATAACAATAAAATAAATACATATTTTATGTAATACATATTTAAATATGAAAAAGAAGATAAAAAGGTAAAAATCAGTGTATATATATATATATATATATATATATATATATATATATATATATATATATATATATATATAAAAACACCCAGCACGCCCCTGCGGGCGGTTTATCCTTCAAGCTCGGGTCCTCTACCAGAGGCCTGGGAGCTTGAGGGTCCTGCGCAGTATCTTAGCTGTTCCCAGGACTGCGCTCTTCTGGACAGAGATCTCCGATGTTATTCCCGGGATCTGCTGGAGCCACTCGCCTAGCTTGGGAGTCACCGCACCTAGTGCTCCGATTACCACGGGGACCACCATTACCTTCACCCTCCACATCCTCTCGAGCTCTTCTCTGAGCCCTTGGTATTTCTCCAGCTTCTCGTGTTCCTTCTTCCTGATATTGCTGTCATTCGGAACCGCTACATCGATCACTACGGCCGTCTTCTTCTGTTTGTCTACCACCACTATGTCCGGTTGGTTAGCCACCACCATTTTGTCCGTCTGTATCTGGAAGTCCCACAGGATCTTAGCTCGGTCATTCTCCACCACCCTTGGGGGCATCTCCCATTTTGACCTTGGGACTTCCAGGTTATACTCGGCACAGATGTTCCTGTACACTATGCCGGCCACTTGGTTATGGTGTTCCATGTATGCCTTGCCTGCTAGCATCTTGCACCCTGCTGTTATGTGCTGGATTGTCTCTGGAGCATCTTTACACAGCCTGCACCTGGGGTCTTGCCTGGTGTGATAGACCCCAGCCTCTATGGATCTTGTACTCAGAGCTTGTTCTTGTGCTGCCATGATTAGTGCCTCTGTGCTGTCTTTCAGTCCAGCTTTGTCCAGCCACTGGTAGGCTTTCTGGATATCAGCCACCTCCTCTATCTGCCGGTGGTACATACCGTGCAGGGGCCTGTCCTTCCATGATGGTTCCTCGTCTCCCTCCTCTTTGTTGAGGTATTCACTGAGCACTCGGTCAGTTGGGGCCATCTTCCCAATGTATTCTTGGATGTTCGTTGTCTCATCCTGGACTGTGGTGCTGACACTCACCAGTCCCCGGCCCCCTTCCTTCCGCTTAGCGTACAGCCTCAGGGTGCTGGACTTGGGGTGAAACCCTCCATGCATGGTAAGGAGCTTTCTTGTCTTTATGTCAGTGGCTTCTATCGCCTCCTTTGGCCAGATACTTTGGTGTCACGGTTCGATATTTTTTTGATACAAAAAAAATGTTCATGCATTTTTTATTTGTCATTTATTAAAATTATAAATATATATTTTAACTCAAAAGTACAGTTTTTAAATTTAACCCTAACCCTTGTGCGTGTTTTTTATTTTGACAGCGAATGCGCACCTGCGGACCACTTATGTGCAGCCCTGGTTATTTAGCTCATCATATTGCAGCCACAGAAATTCTTTTGTCCATGAAACCATAAAGCTGCACTTTCTTTTTGCCTTATAGTCTGATTTGTCATAACTTCTCCGTTTTGTGGTAAGCTTTTCTTTGGCTGTCACTTCTTCACCCTGACCTGTCTTATTTGGCTCAGCAGAACTGAAATGCTTTTACACATGCACTCACATAAGCTCAGCGATTCTCTGCGCGATCAACCTCTCACATGTTTAAGCTTGCTGCGGGAGATTTCACTTGTCATGTTTGCATAGTAAGCTAACGATTAATAAGACGATGTCAGAGGAATTGGTGCACAAATTATCATCACTCACAGATCAGTGCTGTCACTCTCTATACACAGTTCGCACGATTGCAAAGTGAAAGCAAAAAAACAAGCGCAAATTCAAACGCGACTTCAATATGTCACATATTGACAGTGGCTCACCGATGCCAATGACATAATTACCCAGCTACATTTCTGAAAGAATGCAAAAGCATTGACATATATTTTTCCTACAATAGCCCGACGGGCAGGGAAGAGAGAGATTTTGGTAGCCCGACTGAAAAAATCGCTAGCTCCGGGACGTCGGGCTAGCGATATTGCGAGCCCTGTATCTGATTGAGGAATCACTCATCTTTGGAAAAGAGAGTTTATTACAGAGAAATGGCTCTTTCCAAAATAAAAGCTATACTATCCGCTTCTTCTGGGCTATATTCTCAGCAGCATAAGGAGAATCATGTGCTAACAGCTGTCTAAATGACTCGGCTAAAGTTAGTAGCATGCTTGTTGTTTTTGTCTTTGCACTAGGATGATGTCGGCGTAAATGTGCAGTCATATTCGTTGTGTTCCCACTAGTGCTTTCAGGTTAATCTCGTTGAAATGACCTTAACGCCACAACACGGCAAATCTCCGTTAACGAGCTACCGCCGATCGCTCCGTGCATGGGGCTAGACGGCCAACACGTTAACGAGCTAACTGCGCTAACACACTAGTTCACACCAATGTAATTGAGCATTGCATGGCACATCCAACATACTGTTTTACTTTAGTCCATGACTCGCTTACCTTCAGGGTCATACGTCACATGAAAACCAAAATAATTCCAAACGCCAGATCTGAATGAGGTTCAATTTGCCTGTTACAAGGAGAGCTTAACTTCTGTCTCGCTAGCTTGCCCTGTGCTCTTCCTTCTGACTATGCTGTCTGTGTTGAGCGCTCAGTGAATCTGCATTCGACTACTCCGCCTAGGCTGCACTGTCGAGCCTAGGCGGAGTAGTCGAATGCAGATTCACTGAGCGCTCAACACAGACAGCATCGTCAGAAGGAAAATTGATAAAATTAATTACAAATGCTGTATTGTTCGATACATATGCGTACCGAACCGAAAGCACTGTATCGAACGGTTCAATATCGATACGAATATCGTTGCACCCCTAATATATATATATATATATATATATATATATATATATATATATATATATATATATATATGGACTTTATATTGGTAGATATAAAGTCCAGGCACAGATCTGGGATGTGAAAGTTTATTTTTTAATACAATATTAGCTTTTTTTCATTCAGGATTCAGATCTGAGACTGAATTTGTCTCAGAAAATGATGGGCGGAGTGTTTCCTCTTTACCTTATGATGATATTGATGAAGCAGATGAGGCTCGACCCCTGACCTTTCCGGCCACTACTGCTCCTGCTGCCCAAGACATCAACGTTCATGAAGGTGTCCATAATGAAAACACTAGAAAGTTCTGAACCAGTTTGAACACAGTGTTTTCACATTTCAGTACCAATAAATTTCAAATTTGAAAATGGCATCAATCTAATCAGTGTTTAACTGTGCCAAACATTTTTCTTTGTGACAGACGGGGTAACCTACGAAGTGGAAGATCCACAGGAGAGTTATGATGACATTGATACAATCCCTGAAACTGCACAGACTACAGCAGAGATCCACGACAGCCCTGAAACACCACATGACTTAAACACAGCAGCCCCAGGATTGGTGAAGAGGGATGAGGACTACCTAGAGCCAGATCAAGACAAGTGAGCCAAATGCAGCTTTAGAAACTACTTTAAAAAAAAAAAGTCTCACAAAGTGGCTCATGACAAACACGACAAAATTAACTGTTCTTTTTCTCTAATTAAAAATAAGAGGTCAAAAATAATTTAAATATATTCATGCAACATACATTTACTGAAATTCCTTGAAGAAAACGACATTTAATGCAAGAACTTAATTTTAAAAGAATTTAAATCCATCCCTTGATCCTGTATAGCAAAAAACTTAAAATGTAACAAAAAAGACAGATACTAGTGTTATCAATAAATCATTCCATGATATTGTGTTTAATAGTAGTTGAATGTAAAGCTTTTATCAAACATGTCTGTACTGTGTGGTATTACATTTTTCATTCAGTTTTCTTTGTTTAAATGCGTGACGTTGATGCAACACATGAGCTAGCTAATAGATAGATAGATAGATAGATAGATAGATAGATAGATAGATAGATAGATAGATAGATAGATAGATAGATAGATAGATATTAAAAAGGTTTGCTTAGCTTACAGTTTCTTAAAGGTGGGGAGCTAGCCTCCTCTTCCTGCTTCTTGTTTTCAGGCTTAGCTAAGCTAACTGTCTTGTTACATTTATATTCAGCTATAAATGTGAGTGTAATATCGATATTTTCATCAAACTCTGTAGAAACAAACAAGTGTATGCCTCATAATATTAAGCTACTGTTCTAAATATAGTATACTCTTTACAACATAAAGAATTCAATAAGTTTTGGTTGCCATCTTTTGTCTTTCTGAGTGATTTTGTTTCAATTAACACATCAGTTAATGGTCCAACCTGAAATACCAGTGCTGTTGGTATTTTGAAACTGGTCCTTTAGTCCTCATGTTAAAGATGCTCAACTTCACAGGAACATATCTGAGTGACACGTGTGTGATCTTTCATCGTGTTTAGCTTCGCTGGTACATTTTGTTTCAGCACTAGTCAACATTAACATGTGATTTCGAGTCACTGTGAATTACGGATGTACTTTGCTAACAGAACTAACTGGCCAGCACTACGATTAGCTGCTAACTCCCAAGCTCTACCCTACTCCCAGTTGAGATTACATTCTGTTCATAGGGATGAATAACATTGCTTTACTGACAATGAACAACATTTTTAGGTTTGATCCTTTATGCACATCTAGTGATGCCTCAGACACTCGGGGATTTTGGAAATGGCTTAGATGTTGAGTATCAAACTGTATGTTATGTATGCTATTTATAGTTTGATACACAGCACAATAAGCCATTTTATCAATAAGACGTCGCTTGTAGAGTCACCCGAAGCTCTGAACCTGAAAATATTACATGCAATTCTTTCAGGTTGTTGACTCTTTCACTAATGTTTGGGTTCAAAAGAATTTGAATACATTTTCATGATCATGCACTTTAATGTTCTCTATTATAATTAATCATTTTCAGCTGAATTCTTAAAACTATAACAGCCATTTAAATTTTAGCAGTTACTATAGCTATCTGCACTGATCATCTATTCCAATAGTTGTCAAACCGCTTACATTGTTTATAACTGTTTATAACTTCCATTAGTTTCTGTCCTGTTTATGACTTTTAGCTGATATGTAATAAATCCTTGCGGTGTCTTTATTATTGTCTTGGGAAAATTCACATGTGATGATTATGTGACGACCTGTCAGTTTGTGGTAGGTACAAAAACAACAAACAAACAAAAAAACAATACATGTTACTGTTACTGTACTTGAGTAGAATTTTCAGGCATCTATACTTTGCTTGATTATTTATTTGTCTGACAACCTTTAACTTTTACTCCCTACATTTTTACACAGATATCTGTACTTTCAACTCAGGCTCATTACTTTAGGTGGTATCAGTGGAATAATTTATAGTGTTACACTCGGGGTTAAAGTGAGCCAGAGTGAGTGCACATGCCTGTAAGCTGTAGTCACAGTAATTCAGCATCTAGTGTTACGGGAAAGGAGTGAGGATGGAGAGTGTAACATGTTTCTATTAGCTCAACAAACATCAGTACACACACATTTTTGTGTGTAGTTTCACACACAGTGTTTCTGCTAGCTAAATGTCTTGCTGCTGTATTTTCCAGTTGGAGCAGGATTAGAGCTAATTTTATACAGGGATGGAGAACGATGTAAGAAGGAAGGATAGAGATGTAAGTTTCAAAGGTAAGCAACACTTGATAAAGTGCAAATGTGAAGCTTACATGTATCATCATCATTTTTTTCATATATTGGATCCATATATGATTTGTTTTGATAAAATAATAAATACATTAAATGTATTTTATATTGCGAAAACATCCTGTAAAATAAATATATACTAGCTTTGTGTTATTCCAACACGGTAGTTTAGTGCAGGACGAACTCTTCATTATTATGTTAGGATGGCACAAGGTGTAGATACCTTTGCATAAAATATATGATAGAAGCCTGCATTTTTTCACTTTCAATTAAGTAAAGTAGTTGATACAATACTGCAACTTACTGCACTGTTTTTAACACAGGTCTTTGTTCTTCCACTTAAAGCATGTTTGTGCTTTTGATATCTCTGGGGCCCAGCAAAATTTAACCCAATCTTATTTATTTTGAAAGTTGTATTCAAAAAGATCAACAATAAAGACCGTTGGCTGTAAACTGCCACTGGGAAACTTCAATTCAAGAGTAGTAAATTTAGGTCAGGGTAATCAGTAATATTGTCCTATTTAATTCACTTTGTACACGCTTGTGAGTAATTTCAACCAGAAATTCTGTTACTATTGTGGCCCACCTGGGTACACTATGGGAATCACTGCTATATAACCAAGATGGCGCGGCCACGTCCACACGCCTTCCTGACCGCTCCGCTCCGACTATCCACTTTTCTTGTTTTTTACTTATTTATCGGTGCCAAGGTTGCACATCTAATCTTGGACACTTTTAAACCTGACCCTTCCTGGCCGCCAGAGATTCTACGTGGCGCGGAGAACAACAAAGGACGGGCCTCTCATCCGAGGGACAGAACAAAGAAGCGCCGGGGAAAACGCGCTGGTATTAGGAACAGACTGAGACAGCAGGCGCATCGCGCACCACTGTCCAGTATCCTACTGGCCAATGTACAATCCATGGAGAACAAGCTCGATGACCTAAGAGCAAGGGTCACCTTCCAACGTGACATGAGGGACTGCAACATTCTGTGCTTCACGGAGACATGGCTGACCCCCCACCAGGCCGTAACTCCGTCGGATTCATTCTTTGTGCTCCGCGCGGACAGAACGGCAGAGTCGAACAAAACCAAAGGTGGGGGAGTGTGTTTCATGATAAACAGAAAGTGGTGTGATGCCAGGAGCATTTCTACTCTCTCTAGCGGCTGCTCGTCACATCTGGAGTTCCTGAGCATTAAGTGCCGCCCTTTCTATCTGCCCCGTGAGTTCACCTCAGTCATCGCCACGGCGGTCTACATCCCACCCCAAGCGGACACAGGTATGGCTTTGTCCGAATTACATGATGTGCTGAGCTCGCTTCAAAACAAGGACCCGGGCGCAGCCCTCATTGTAGCAGGAGACTTTAACAAAGCGAACCTCAGACAAGATCCAACAGATCCACAGAGGATGCCATCGCCCACGTCCTACACACCACTCTCAGCCACGTGGACAAGAAACAGGGTAACTATGTGCGAATGCTGTTTGTTGATTACAGTTCAGCGTTTAACACAATAGTGCCCTGCAGACTGTTCACAAAGCTGAGGGATCTGGGACTTAACAGCCGTCTGTGTGCATGGGTGTTGGACTTCCTCACTGGCAGAACTCAGGTGGTGAGGGTGGGCAGGTGCTTCTCCAACAGCATCACCATCAACACAGGAGCACCTCAGGGATGTGTCCTCTCGCCACTGCTCTACTCCCTCTACACTTCAGACTGTGTGGCCACCCATGGCTCCAACACCATTGTGAAGTTTGCTGACGACACAGTGGTGTTGGGTGCCATCTCCAACAACGATGAAGCGGCCTACATGGATGAAGTGAAGAATCTGGCATCGTGGTGCCAGGACAACCACCTCCAGCTGAACGTCAGCAAGACCAAGGAGCTGGTGGTGGACTTCAGAAGGGGTCAGCACAGAGACTATAAGCCCATTATCATCAATGGAGCTCCAGTGGAGAGGGTGCAGTCCTTCAAGTATCTTGGTGTCCACATCTCCTCAGACCTGACATGGGCTGCCCACATTCAGGTCCAGACCAAAAAGGCTAGGCAGCGCCTGTATCACCTACGACAACTGAGGAAGTTCAGGGTCTCTCCAAAGATCCTCAGGATTTTCTATACAGGCGCTGTGGAGAGACACTCTAAACCAAGGCACAATGTACATTTCAATTCCTTTAATTTTAAATATGTTTATATTGTCTATCCTGTAAAATAGTCAGATGTCTATTCATATTAATGTATAGAATCCACCTGCTTGCTGCTACTACTGCACATTCACCCAGTGTATATACTATATGTGTATATATATATATATAATGTTCTTCCTCTACACCCCCCCCCCCCCCCCCCCCCCCCCCCCCAATTTTTGCACACATGTCGAGGAGTGTGTCAGGCTACATTTCACTGTGTGTTATACTTGTATAACTATGCATGTGACAAATAAAGAACCTTGAACCTTGAACCTTGATATACAACAAAAATGCAACACAACATCTCCACAGCAGCCATGTGGTTTTCTTTCACATACATCCATCCTCTTCCACTTATCTTTATCAGTGTTGTGGGGTGTTGGAACCAGCGGCGGGGCACACCACGAACAGAGAACATGAGCTGAGACGAAGTTCTTAACTCATGTCAGAGTCATGTAAATGATGGTTTTAGCTACCTGCTGATTATATTTAGCTGATTTAGAACTCCATTAATTTAGCATTACCATCTCTGGATAAGTACATATTTAGCATTTTATAATTTTTCTGATTTGGTTGTTCTGATGTCAGCAGTAAAATAAAGCATATAAACTGTTATTTTGTGGGAAAACTATCATCAGGCCTCATGTAAATGTGTGTGAAATGGGACAAGCTATTCTAAGATATTTTAGTCATTTAATCACCATGTTAATATTCCACTAACTTTATGCAAACACTTTTTACATTCATGCTAGCTTGGAAAGGGTTTATTCCTGCATTCATACACGTTAAGCTTTGTATTATATATATGATAGTATTATATTTGGTGTATTTGTTACAGGCCCCAGGAGTGGTGTCACTATAACAAAGATGAAATTAATGTAAATACAAGTGAAATTCAGGAACAATAAAGGCACAGTGCACTCGGTTTACCTTCCAAACTGCATCTGTTATTCAAGTTTCATTAACAGTAACAATATCCATGTGTATCACTCGCTTTCAGTCTCAGTGATCTTACACGTTGCATATGTTCATCTTTTAAGTCATAAGCAGAAAAATAAATGCATTCACACTTCAATGTTCCATCTCTTTACATGTACTTCATTAGGGATTGAAAGCTTTAATACATCTACAGTGCATCTTACAGCAATATGTATTTAAGGCAAATCACTCTCTTGGCTGGTTAAAATTAAAGTGGACAAATGTACCTGTTCTCAATACTGAAATTAAGGTAACTAAGCATCACCAATTAGCAGTATTATGCAGTAAAACAGCACAGGCAGCACAGTGGTACGGTGGTTAGCACTGTTGCCGCACAGCAAGAAGGTCCTGAGTTCAATTCCACCATCAGGCCGGGGTCTTTCTGTGTGGAGTTTGCATGTTCTCCCCGTGTTTGCGTGGGTTCCCTCCGGGTACTCCGGCTTCCTCCCACCGTCCAAAGACATGCAGCTTGTGGGGATAGGTTAATTGGATAATCCAAATTGCCACTAGGTGTGAATGAGAGTGCGAATGGTTGTCTGTCCCTGTGTGTTGGCCCTGCGACAGACTGGCGACCTGTCCAGGGTGTACCCTGCCTCTCGCCCTATGACAGCTGGGATAGGCTCCAGCGCCCCAGACTTAAAAACTCCTTTGTCCCACACGCCATCAAACTGTTTAACTCCTCTCTGGAGGGGAGAGGGAGGGGAAACAGGAGGACAAAGGCGGGGGGAACAACTAAGCTGTAGTGCCTCTTCACCTCACTGTACAATACCTTTGTGCAATACTTTTGTAAATAGTCAACAGTGCAATAGACCTCAATACTTGAAATGTGCAATTCACTTGTATTTTTATTTTTATTCCTATTTATTCTATTTATCCCCTTTGTATATTTTATTTATATTTGTCTCTGTGTTTATATATGTGTGTGTATGTGTGTGTGTGTGTGTATATATATATATAATATTCTGTAACTCTGTAACTTCTGTCGGTGCTGTGCTTCTTTGGAAATCGAATTTCCCAGAGGAACCCACCCGAGGGATTAATAAAGTTCTATCTTATCTTATCTTATCTTATCTTACTTTTTCTCCTTTACTTGAATAAAGAAATTAATCAGTACTTTAGCTTTTACCACAGTATTATTTATGACAGGTTTCTATTCTTCTACTTAAGTACAGGATTTCTGTACTCTGATCGGGGGGAGTTGCCGTTATGGTGACAGTTAGGATCCAATGGATATTTCCTTATCTCATAGTTATTCACCTACTCACTCAGTTTGTTTCTTCCCCACTCCACGTTCAAGTTCATGGCCGCTCTTCACCTGTACAACCTTACAGCCTCTGGAAATCCACCTGCTAAATTCTAATACATCTCTTTTTCCCAGGTGTTTGTGGCTAATCTAAGCTTTACATCAATTCCACTTTCCCAGGCTATCAAGCTGATTGTGACATCACTGGTCTCGTTAAATCATCTTTCTGCCTGCCTTCTTCAGGTCAATCAGCCTTCATGCCGCGTACTGTCATTATGCCTTGTAGGTAACTTTGTGCAAACCACTTCCCCATTGCTGCCTCTCCCCATCACTCAGACTCAAGTAGAAATTTAGACAATCATGAAGCTCAAAAATTATTTTGCTATGTCTCTACCATCCTGGAATCTGCATTAATATTTTCTCTCCTCTAACAGAAATCCCATACATTCCCCAAAACTGAAGGTACCAGTTCACTCGTTGCTACATATCTCACCCTCACAGGTCCTTTTAGTGTGTGATAGTCGCGGAGACAAAAGCTATTCAAACTGAGTTTGTCATGGTTGTCATGTCAGCTGTGATGAGCATCACTACTACTTTGGCGAGTGCTGGAAAACTAAAGGAAAGAGTGATGTAAATTTCTTGTAGTAGTCTGTATATGTCCATACACCTGTCTTCCCATGCATACATCTCTACCTTGATTCATACATCACTACATACATATGTGTTTCCTCTGCTAAACCACTTTCATTTTTGCTTAGTTTTCTTAGTCCATTTATTTTAAAAACTTTTTTTTCATATAAATGAAACAAATATTTGAGAAAAATAACATTTTCAGGGTCTTTGTGGGAAAGATCTAAAATAATCTGTATATGCAGTAGTGATAATATTTCGTGATGTGATTTTTCCTTAGTATTTCTAGCACAGAATTAGGATTTTAAGATTGATGTAACTCATACATTAGCTAGAGCCAAGGCACATTGTGTCTAACTTAGCTTAGGCTGGAGCCTGGTGAAGCAAGTGACCTCAGCTCACAAGTGTGAAAAATTTTTCTTTGAGTTTTTAAACAGCAACATTTTTTACACTTTGGCTTTCATACCTTTGGACAGAGGGAAGCCAGCTGTTTCCTCGGCCCTTCTGCTCTTGCTCTTGACGAAGGCGGTCGCACTTTTCTCCTCTCCTCCTCCTCGTCTCCCTTAGCTTCCCTGCTTAGCCTCTTGTGTCCTTGTCTAGTCTCGTGTTTTTTGTATTACTTTTCCCTGGAACACTCTCTCACAGTCTGTTTTCTAAAACCTAAAAGAGGAATTATGGATTTGATCAACTGGTCCCTGAATGCAATTGACACCCTTTTCTCAACGAGAAGTCTGGGCTCAGGTGAGCCTGAGTGTCCTGGAGGTACTTTCCCTGCCGGATACACAATGGACGGGTGGCAGAATTGGAGGATCGTGTGCCTGGTGGGACTGTCGATCAAAGATGCTGAAGATATCTACCTATTCGGAACCATGATAACAGGGTTCTTGCTGATCGGAGCTGGCTTGGCCCCGGCTTATCGAAGAATTAAGAAAGCGGAACCGGCTGTTCAAACCCCCACAAGGCTGAACGCTGGGATTGAAACGATGGGCTCAAAATGGGCCATTGAGTGCAGCACGGATAAGATGTTGGAGATGCTTACGGCTGCCGTGAATACTCAGAATAAGACCTCTGAGCGCAAACTGGATTACATTTTGGAGGGGCTCGCTCGGAATAACACCTCTGAGCAAAAATTGGATCACATTTTGGAGAAGCTCACTGTGGTCGTGAGTTCTCAGAATCGGCTCTTTGAGCACAAGAATGACAACATCACGGAGCGCAAGGTTGATAACATCATGGAGAAGCTCACGGCTCTCCAACGGGAGATTGACAGACCAGTGTCAGACTGTTAGAACAACTTTGAAATTCTTATGAGTTGTTCGCACTAAAGTAAAAACCACCATCATTTCCCCTTCGGCGCCAGCTGCGGTCTCAAGGCTGGAGCTGAACAACAACACCCTGATACGGACTGTGTTTAGACTGTTCTTCCCATTCAATGCAAGGCCACCCGGGTTGGCTGGAAGACTGTTTACTTAGCCTGGCAGGGCGAAGGACACTGTCTCAGCTGAACTCTGGACACACACACACACACACACACACACACACACACACACACACACACACACACACACACACACACACACACACACAGACATATATACACATGCAGATGTACACTCATCCCCCCTCCCCCTCCAAACGCCTTCGACGCTTATTCCCTTCCAATACTGACGGTGGATCAAGGAGACCAGCGCATTGGCTGCAGGCCCGGATGTACTGTCTACACTGGCTGTCTCTCACCCTTTACCCATCCCTGTTGCTTGTCATGTGTTTCTTTGGTGTATTAAGAGTTTTTTCATGTGCTATGTGCAGGTGTTTTTTTTCTGTTCTCAAACTGATCTCCATGTTGGAGCTCAGTCTGGGGGGAGTTTTTTTTTTCTCCTTATCTTTCCTCATGTGGTGCTTTTTCCATTGTTATACCTCTCTGACCTGTCTTCCCCATGTGATGTTTTTGTATAATGTATGTATGATCGGAGGGTAAGATGGCGCCGCCATTGCGTGCAATAGGTCGGCAGCCTTAACATGAAATTTCCCCTTGTGGGACTAATAAAAGTATCTTATCTTATCTTATCTTATCTTATCTTATCTTATCTTATCTTATCTTATCTTATCTTGGTGTTTTTGCTAAGCTGACCATCTGCAGTTTCATATTTGTATGTCTTTCAGACTCAAAGTGGATAAACGTGTTTCCTAAAGTGCCAAAACTATTAATCCTTTCTCAGTATGCCATACTGGTTTTTAAAATATTCATTCACTTGTTTTGCATAGAAAGGGACTGTACATCCATGAACTTAAATAAAGTACAGCTCTCACTATGAATGAATCCAGAAAACTAAAATGTGGCTGTATTTGATTTCAGACTGTGATGCCATTTCCACTACAGTTAGAGAGAAAGAGAAAAGGGTTTTTGGAAGCTTCTGGCCATGAGAGGGCGCTCCTTCAACATACGGACTGAATTGTGACGTCTCTGTGCCCTTCAGTACATGGCCATTTCAAATAATGCCATCACTTGCTGTTGACTGAACACGTTATGTACTGTAAGAGTAAATATGTAACACTGTAACCTTTCAGCAAGAATGCTTCCAGGGACAGAACTGGAGTTTGAAAGTAAGGAATATGAGGATGTCATGAACAAAGAAAATGAGGTGACCTCAGTCATAGCAGTGAGTCATTTATTTATTTATTTTAACTTTTTAAAAATGTATTTCTAAACACTACTGATTCTGCTTAAAGTCTTTAGCTTAGTGTGATTTATATCCTGTACATCAATAAGGTCATTCATTTGGATTAGGAATGGTATTATATTACATTTTAATATTTTACATCGATAATATTATCGATATATTGATATTCCAATTTTCTGCTTCCATAAGTTGTTTCTACTTAACTACTGCTGTACCTACTACTACAACTGTATCAAGTAAGCACAGAGGCTCCAACCATAAAAAGTGCTATTGCTCCTGATCAATTCAAGGTGCATCATTTCTATTTCACCTCAGTTTTCACTGTGGAGCTGAACAGAAATACAACAAATATGAAATTCATTAATCTGTTTGTTTGTTTTTTAATCTGTTTTTTATTACTGATCCTCATTTTTGAAAGTTTGTGTCATTTAAATACTGTACTTCACTAAGGTTGTTATAATCATTATAAACAAGAAGTATTTATGTAGAACAAGAAATAGCAAAATCTTTAACATCGTTTTATTTGATACTGATAATATTACATGAGCTACTATGAGCTAGTCTGTCAGCTGCACAGACACAAGTCACTCACCTGATCTATCTTTCGGTAAAGAAGAAATGCAGAACTTTTTAAATACAACGCTGTTCATGTCTTTAACCTCCTAGGACCTGCCGACCACATATGTGTACATCACATTTTTGGTTGTCTAGACCAGCGGTCCCCAACCTTTTTTGGGCCACGGACCGGTTTATGCCCGACAATATTTTCATGGACCGGCCTTTAAGGTGTCGCGGATAAATACAACAAAATAAAACTAGTACTGGTACCGAAAAAAAGAAAATTTATTCATAACACACGTGAAAAGACCAAGGAAAACCGAGAAAACGATATAAACGATAACAGAATAACGCTGAAAACCGATAAAAACCCTGAAAACCATACATTTCACACCTGAGCCTCAACTCTCACGGCCCGGTACCAAACAACTCGGAGGCCCGGGGGATGCGGACCGCTGGTCTAGACCAAAATACAGTATTTTACTCTACAAGGGCCTGCTATCCACTTATGAGGACATTGTACTGTTTCTGTTTTATCAAATGTTAAAACAAATATCCTCATATATGGCTCTCATTTTTCTTAGAAACAAGAATCAACAAATTAAATCCATAGTAAAAAAGAAATTTAGACCGGGTCAAGTTGAACTACAAACACCACCAAGTGTGGTTCAACTTCTTAGTCTTAAAACCCCCAAATTACTATCCAAAATATACAGAATGCTTTCTAAAACAGATGAATCAATATCACTTCCTATTGCAAAATGGGAAGCGGATTTATCAGTTAACTTAGACCTAAACTTCTGGTCTCAGATTTGCTTAAAAACCTTTCATCTAATTAGAAATCCCAGTCTTCAATTAATTCAATACAAAATATTACATAGAGTGCACTATACAGGTCATCGGATGTTCAAGATGGGCTTTACGTCTACCAACACCTGCTCCCACTGCCAAACCAATTCACCGGACAATTATATCCACGCTCTTTGGTTCTGTCCACCAGTTCAGAAGTTTTGGCGCGAGATATGTGAAGACTTATCAAAGTGTCTGAAATGTAACATTCCAACTTCCCCCTTAGTGTGTTTGTTGGGCAGCTTAGATATTGTCACTTCAGAAAATAATATAGCCCATATGGTTTTCACTGCCCTATGCATAGCCAAGAAAACAGTCCTCATGAACTGGAAAAATAAAAATAATCTTAATTCTAACAAATATAGAAATTATCTATTAGATCACATTAATCTTGATACAGCCTCTGCCACCACATCAGATCAATTGCTCTGGGCTCCTTTGATCAGCTCCATCACCTAGTGGGGGTGGGGGGTTCTTAGTTTGGTCCCGCCTTCACTGTTGTGATTGGTGTGGGGGTAGGGATAGGCTTAGGGCGTCTGGGGGTTCCCTGGAGGCATCTTCCTTGGGGGGCTCAACCCAGGGTAGCAGTCATGTCCGATTAGGGGTTCTGTTGGCTCTCAGGTGACTGTTTCCTCGCGGCTGCGTGCAGCGGGGCTAGGGGAGGGTCTGTGCTGACGGACGTGGGTTACTGACCTGGTAGCCTGGCTGGGCGTGAGGTTCTGGGGGCGCTCCGTCTCTGGGCTGGGGCCCTGGCCGGGCCTCGGGGGCTTGGGTCCTGGTTGGTGTGTTGCCGGGTGTTGTGGGCGGGTGGGTGCATGAGGGCTCAGCCCTGGAGCAGGGTGCCGCCGGTGCGTCGAGCCACCTGGGGGACTCTTCAACTGGGGAGCTGGCCCCAGGGAGGGGTCACTTGCCCCTCCCTTCCTTCCCTCCCCATCTTCAGCTGCCTCCCTCTTCCCGCTCCACCACAACCACCCACACATGCAGGGCCTTGGAGTAGGGGTATGTCACCAGGGTGCAGAGGAGGCTACCCCCCCCCCCCCCCCTCTGTCCCCTTCTGGCTGCCTCTGCCTCAATTTTATCCCACAACTTAGACATTCACATTACTCACACTCTCATTACACATACATATAGGATCTTGGGGGTGGGCACGCTACACGGACTCCAAAAGACCATCAGTGTGTACACCTCACCCTTGGCGTCGTTGCCCACCTCTCAATTTTAAATACACATAGACATTGAGGGCTAGCAGGAGGGGCTATGCGCCTACCTGCTGCTCTCTGGCAGGTAGCTCCATGCCCTCCTGGGTTTTAAATGCACCTTAGAACACACATGCATCAACACTACAATGAGCGGGTGGAGGGAGGTTTGGAGTCTTCTCTCACCCCCATTCTCTGCGGCCTGCTGGAGCGGGGGGCTAGGAGGAGGAGTTGGCCGTCCGACTGCGGTCTGGAGTGTGGGGCCTCCCTGCTGCTGCGGAGTCGGGGCGGTCTGCCTCCCCCCACCGCAGGGAAAAGGGTAACACCACCTGGGTCTGGGTGCAGTTCCCCCCTCCAGGGGCAAGGGTACCTAGACCCAGTTCGTAGAGTACGCTTGGGGAGTGTGATCGTGCGTACAGCGTCTCTTTATGTCTGTCTCCACGTTGGTTGAGTGTGGAGTAAGTGCATATGAGAGCATGAGGGTGGGAATGGATGTTTGTATCTGTGTATGCCTGTATGTCTTTGTCTATATGTCAGGTTGGGTATCAGACGCCACCTCTCTGGGGACATCTCAGGCCCTCCAAGGTTTGGAGGTCTATCTCCCCCCACCACCACTTCCCCTGCCAGTGGCGGACTCCCTCAGACATCGGTGCGTTGGTGGTTCTTTGTGTCTGGGGATGGGCGTCCAGGTACACACCGGCTCACTCCTTGGCGGCCGCTTATCGGGGCCTGGAGCCTGGGGCTCGCTCGGGCCACTTCGGAGGTGGGGTGCCCCCAGCCTCTCGGCCTGGGGCTCGGTCACTCAGGCACAGCTGGCTGCCGGTGGAGCTCACGGGCGCGTCACTGCAACTCCCCCTGGCTTCTGCTCCGCGGCTGCTGAGTGAGCCCTCATCTGGGACTCTCCTCAGCTCTTTCTGGGACAGTGGCGCGGCTGCCCCTCTGTTGGTCTTCCTTGGTCTCTTGTGTTCTGGGGGCCTCTGGATGTCTGGAGTTTTGATCTCCTCCATACCTGCTTCATGCCCTGGAGGACGGGGCAGTGGCCCCCCCATACCCTCTAGCAGATCATTACATGAAGGAACCTTTTAAAAAAACAAGCTCGTCCATGCTCACAGGTGTACACACGGGTGATCACACCCACAAACTACACCCTTTTTGGCTCCTACCTCAAAGCACACTGTGTGCTGTCGATCTTACGTGCTGCACAATAATGTTTAATATTTAGTATTTACTGTCATATTCCCATATATCATTGTGATGTTGTTTATTCTATTACTCTTGCTCTCTTCTGCTTGTTTTCTTTTTTCTTTTTCAACAGGTGATCCAGGTGATCGATATATGCATTTTTTTCCCCCCTGCTTATTCTGTTGGTTTTTGCTTTTTGCCCTTCTCCCCCATCCCTCTTCTCAGCTGTTTCTCTTTCCCTCTTTCTTTCTCCCCTTCTTTCCTCCAGTCAAGTCTGTCCCGTATTCAGCAAGTGAAAATAAAATAAACAATAAAAGGTGAATCAAATGGACCATTATGGCAAGGCTGGGATGGTCAATTTGGTAAAGTAAATCCGTTGGGTATCTTTCTTTGCCTTTAGACAATAATTCTGATGGCAAAAGAGCCAAACGGGACAGGCAAAAAAAAAAAGAAAAAGAAACAAGAATCTGGTAAAGTGTCTTAGTTTTTACATTCATCGGGTCCCAATCAGCCCAAATATCAAAGCGAAATTAAAAATGCATGCCATGAAAGAGTTCATAGGAGGTTGAATTGAATTGAATTGAATGAATGCTTTATTGCCCATATGCAGGTTGCCCCGCAGAGGAATAGGACCCCCCTAACATAGAGTCATCTCGTTTCTGACACTGTAACAAACTAAAAATATATCCATTTCCTTTTTAATTCAAGTTTCATTAAGAGTTCAATTGGATTTTGGTCAGCCGCGCGTGGGGGCCAGTCAGTGGTATCAATTTACTCAATCATTCAGGAACTTTCCTTCATACTCTCGAGCTATAAATTTATTCTTCTTCCTGCTCCTTTTCATGCATGGAAACAGTGTTACTTTAATTGAAAGGAAGGTTGTGTGTAGGAAATGAACTACTGCTGTATCATGTGTGAAACAAAATAAAAAAT